TGAGTGTTTAACACTTGGGACACAATAAATACATCTTCGGTCCACCTAAGGGTGTATCCTTTTTCAAAAAGACCTTTCTTTTTGGTGATTCGAACTTTATCACCTATTTTAAACCTAGCCTGTTGCATGGGAGAATTGCCACCATACAAGTTCCAGTACACTTTGTATTCATGTTCCTTCTGACTTGCGACCACATAAGTAATTTTAATGGATCTGTGCTTGGAAGTGTTGTACTGGTAAACAAGGTCACCCAACACATCAATGTTTGTGCGCGTGGAGTTGACTGAAAAGTATTTAAACATTTTCTCCTTCATGGTGCGTTTCCAGCGTTCAACTACACTCGACTTTTCTTTATTCTCGGTGGAATATAGTTCAATATCATGCTTATGAAGTAACTCCTTGACCTCCTTGTTGTAAAATTCAGTTCATTTGTCTGTTTAGCTTTTTGGGAATGCGTGATGATTTGAATACCGCTTAGAAGGCATCTTTAACAATGACACCTTTCTTGTTTTTGAGCGGTCCTAGCTAACCGTATTTGGAGAACACATGAATGATACTCAAAATCCCTAAATCCTTTGTTATCGCGAGAAAAAGGAGCTCATATCGACTTAATCTGCAGTCCAAATGTCATCCACACCTCCAACGAACCCACGTATATTTTAAGAACTTACGTCGAACTGGTTTGTGTAATTCTGCTACTAATTCATTTGTTTTTTTAATCCCCAAACCAAATCGCACTTTGGTACCGATGATAGGTCTAACAATACCGCGGTCCATCTTCTCTCTCATGGTTGAATTGTTGATGGTGTCTAATTGACTAAGCTTTTTTTATCACTTACAGAGTTGCTAGTGTTTTTATCTTTGTGTTGAGTATAACAGAGATCATAACGATACGCAACTTCATCACTTTATTAATGGGTTTAGACCAATATTTGGGTGTTCCATTATCATTGAGTCGCTTATGCAACTTAGTACCAGGTCCTGTGAAGTTGTGTCCCTGAAGATGGAGATGCATTTGCACCGGTAGATTGTTTATCAGTTTGTTCATGAAGCCACCATCGGTAGTACTCACAAACTGAGATTTCTTTGAATCGCACACGCTGCAGATTACACCCTTTCTTTGCCGTCCATTGCTAGTCGTCATTTCAAAGCGCCTTTTCGTCTCCGTATTCGTCTTATATTTTAAACAATAGATTGTCATTTTATTCACATAAATGGAGGTTGAAGATATCTCATACAATGAAACTACTGTAAACAGAAGTAAACACTTCCTCCTCCCGCAGCGGTCGATTAGAGAACAGATTATTGGGGTGGTTAGATTATAATTGTTTGTATGTCTTTGGGATATCTCCTCACCAACCCATCTATCAACTCTTGCACAAAGCATTCGAAAAAGGGTACTCAAAAGAGGATATGTGTAATATATTATCCGTCAAAGGAAAATGTCCCCTAACCCTGATCGATGTTGTTGATGGTTTACCCTCAACAAAACAACGCAGCGGTATTGATGCATTCTTAACACATTTACCGCAATCATTGTTCAGATTTAACCTTTGAAGAGTTTTAGACTTAGTGCAATCACTGTTTGTCTGAACCTTACGGATTTGTCACCATCGATCTCACCAGCACCAAAGAAAATAGAAAGTACAGATCTATGCAAATAGGACTTTAATTCTATGTCGTTTAATATAAAGAATGAATACAGAAATAGGATTTTGAGGAATATTTAACTGTGTTCGATGATAGTAGCAGTGAAAATGACGTCAGATGACAGCAATGAAAATCCTCCAGAAATAGGGTGTGTTACACATAAGTTCAAACGTGTGAATATCACCACAGGATCCCTTCACGAGTTTATTCCAGGTTACATGTGTGTTGAATGTGGTGTTGAAAAGTATGAGGATCCTTTTGATAGTCAGGATTTTGATAACTGGAATGCAGAAAGTTGAATGTTGAAAACGAATGTTGAATGTTGAAAACGAATGTTGAATGTTGAAAACCGAATGTTGAATGTTAAAATCGAATGTTGAATGTTGAAATACGAATGTTGAATGTTGAAATCGAATGTTGAATGTTGAAAGCGAACGTTGAAAATCGAATGTTGAATGTTAAAAACGAATGTTGAATGCTGAAATCGAATGTTGAAAAAAAGAAAAAAAAGTTTGACAAAAAATTTGTTGAATGCTGAATGTTGAAATCGAAGGTTGAATGTTGAAATATGAATGTTGAAAACGAATGTTGAATGTTAAAAACGAATGTTGAATGTAGAAAAACGAATGTTGAATGTTGAAAAGCGAATGTTGAATGTTGAAAGCGAACGTTGAAAATCGAATGTTCAATGTTGAAAACGAATGTTGAATGCTGAAACCGAATGTTGAAAAAAAGAAAAAAAAGGAAAAAATAAAATTTAAAAAATAAAATTTTGAAAGTAGAATGTTTAAATCGAATGTTGAATGTTGAAAACGAATGTTGAGTGTTGAAAAACGAATGTTGAATGTTGAAAAGCGAATGTTGAATGTTGAAAGCGAACGTTGAAAATCGAATGTTCAATGTTGAAAACGAATGTTGAATGCTGAAACCGAATGTTGAAAAAAAGAAAAAAAAGGAAAAAATAAAATTTAAAAAATAAAATTTTGAAAGTAGAATGTTTAAATCGAATGTTGAATGTTGAAAACGAATGTTGAGTGTTGAAAAACGAATGTTGAGTGTTAAAAACGAATGCTGAATGTTGAAAACTTATGTTGAAAAATAAAATTTGAAAAAAAAACATTTTGACAAAAACAATTTTCATTGAATGTTGAAATCGAATGTTCAAAACGAATGTTAATTGTTGAAAACGATTGTTGAATGTTGAAAAAAACGAATGCTGAATGTTAAAAACTTACGTTGAAAAAAAAAATTGAAAAAAAAACATTTTGACAAAAAAGAAATTTCATTCAATGTTGAAATCAAATGTTCAAAACGAATGTTGAATGTTGAAAATGAATGTTTAAAACGAATGTTGAAAAACGAATGTTGAAAAACGAATGTTGAATGTTGAAAATGAATGTTGAATGTTGAAATCAAATGTTGAAAAAACGAATGTTGAATGTTAAAATCGAATGTTGAAAAAACGAATGTTGAAAAAACGAATGTTGAATGTTGAAAACGATTGTTGAATGTAAAAAAAAACGAATGTTGAATGTTAAAAACTTACGTTGAAAAAAAAAAACATTTTGACACAAACAATTTTCATTTAATGTTGAAATCGAATGTTCAAAACGAATGTTCAATGTTGAAAACGAATGTTGAAAAATGAATGTTGAATGTTGAAAACGATTGTTGAATGTTACAAAAAACGAATGTTGAATGTTGAAAACTTACGTTAAAAAAAAAATTGAAAACATTTTTTTTTTAATGTTGAATGTTGAAATCGAAGGTTGGATTTTGTAAACGAATGTTGAATGTTGAAATCCAATGTTGAATGATGAAATACGAATGTTGAAAACGAATGTTAATGTTCAAAACGAATGTTGAAAAACGAATGTTGAATGTTGAAAGTTGAAGTCGAATGATGAATGTTGAAATCGAATGTTGAAAAACGAATGTTGAATGTTGAAAACGATTGTTGTAGGTTAAAAAAAACGAATGTTGAATGTTGAAAAAAAAAATTTGACAAAAAAATTTTTGAATGTTGAATGTTGAAATTAAAGGTTGAATTTTGTAAACGAATGTTGAATGTTGAAAAACGAATGTTGAATGTTGAAATCCAATGTGGAATGTTGAAATACGAATGTTGAAAACGAATTTTAATGTTCAAAACGAATGTTGAAAAACAAATGTTGAATGTTGAAAGTTGAAATCGAAAAATGAATGTTGAATGTTGAAAACGAACGTTGAAAAACGAATGCTGAATGCTGAAATCGAATGTTGAAAAAAAAAAATGAAAAAAAAAAAAAAAAAAAAAGATTTCGACAAAAACAATTTTGAATGTTGAATGTTGAATGTTAAAAACGAATGTTGAATATTGAAAAACGAATGTTGGATGTTGAAATCGAATGTTAAATGTTGAAATACAAATGTTGAAAACAAATGTTGAATGTTGAAAACAAATGTTGAAAAACGAATGTTGAATGTTGAAATTTGATGTTGAAAAACGATTGTTGAGTGTTGAAAACGAATGTTGAATGTTGAAAACGAATGTTGAATGTTGATAAAAAAATGTTTAATGTTGAAATCGAATGTTGAATGTTGAAAAACGAATGTTGAAAACAAATATTGAATGTTGAAAACGAATGTTGAATGTTGAAATCGAGTGTTGAATGTTGACATGGTTGTAAAACGATTGTTGAAAACGAATGGTAAATATTGAAAACGAATGTTGAATGTTGAAATCGAATGTTGAATGTTGAAAAACGCATGTTGAAAAAGAATGTTGAATGTTGAAAATGTTGAAATCGAATGTTGAAAAAACTAATTGAAAACAAATGTTGAATGTTGAAAACGAATGTTGAAAAACGAATGTTGAAAAACGAATGTTGAATGTTGAAGTCGAGTGTTGAATGTTGACATGGTTGAAAAACGAATGTTGAAAACGAATGCTAAATATTGAAATCGAATGTTGAATGTTGAACTACGAATGTTGAAAACGAATGCTAAATATTGAAATCGAATGTTGAATGTTGAAATACGAATGTTGAAAACGAATGTTGAATGTTGAAAATGTTGAAATCGAATTTAAAAAAAAAAACAATTGAAAGATAAAAAATTTTAACAAAAAAAAATGTTGAATGTTGAATATTGAACCAACTTGACATCCGTTAAGTACATCTACACCTGTTTTGTTGCTTTTGTTTATACTTGTTCGTGTATCAATTACTGAATTTTAATTCTCCTTTTATCATACATGTAGTTGGTGTGGTATCCCTTACCATATATTGTTCGTGTAATAGGCTTTTTATTTCTTAAGCGTATTTCGCTCACATAGCTACATATATTTTCAAATTTGATTAAGTACTTACTAGATGCTCCACCACCATTTATACCATAACCTTCTTTTTTTCCGAAATATCCTACATAACCTATGGTTTAATAATCAGTGGATCATTGTTAAATTGTAATACACATAACATCAAGGGATTGTCAAGTGCAACAATAAGATATGTCCTTTTAATAAAATAAACAACCAGATGTAAAATAGTAATCAAAGACACATGATTGACAATGTTAATCGATGTATTAAAAATTGGTTGTATCTTTTATCAAAATTGCCACCCAACGTGAATTGCTTATCCCGTCACTTCTAAAAAGATTTTCACCAAATTCTTTTTCTTATGTGTACTTTAATTTGTTTGTAAATTGGTTTCTTGAATGAATAAAATGTCACTTTTTTTGTTGATTTGACCAGCTTGCAATTGTACTTTTTTTTCAAGTTGTTGCAGGCCATTAGCATAGACCGTGTTTATATGTAGATTGTTTTTATTTTTTGGATTATTTGAAAACTATTGATTGAAAATTTTATATGGTAAGAACCATTTTCTAATCATAATTTTGAAAATGCTTTGAATATATAATAGACAGCTTTTCTTATGTATATATATACTATTTTTATATCTTGCTATTTTAATAGAATTTTCATTCCTTTTTCTTTAGGAAAAATGTTTTACCATCTTTCTAGCGTTTTTATTACACTAAGAGGGGCATTAGCTACAAGATATGAAAGTGATATAGTGAAATAATAATTCGCTTTTAGCAGGCAACTGCAATTTGGTTTTAATTTTGTCAAAATAAGTGAATAATTAGACCTCAATGAACTTGTATTCTTATCACCTTCAATTTAATCCCTTAACTGGAGATGGGTTACGCATGTATTCAGCTTTTGAAAGGAAAAGAATGTCAACATTGAAAGTGAAACACAGATGAACTATTTGGTTGACTGGTTCAATTTACAAAAAATCATTCTGATACAGATACGATGATAAACATACTTTTTAACCTCAAATATGAAATCAAACAGAACTAGAAAAATTCAATTGCACGTGGTCGCTATCTTATATAATGATATTTATGTTTATATCGGGTTATATGACCGTCGGCAGGCAGTCTTCGGATGCCATCTCGATGGTTAATTAGATGATATCAAAACAAAAGTACACACGAAATTTTGATACATTTTATCGAGTACATGCATTGTTAATTGTTTATGATAGACTTTTGTAATTTGGATATACGTTTTAGTATGGTATAAATGAAATATGAGAATTTGAGTCAGATGGGTTACCATCAATTTGACAGCTAATGCCCTTTTAAGTGTATGTTTACATGACGGTTTTAAACGGTCAGGAATATGGAAGTTACATAGTCCGTGTTTATGTATGTTGGCGTTTGTTTTTGTAGCAGTTAAGTGTTTCTGTTGTTCTGTTTTGTTTTCTCTTATAATTGATGTGTTTCCCTCAGTTTTGGTTTGTAACCCGGATTTGGTTCAGTTAAAACGATTTATGACTATTAAACAACGGTATACTACTATTGCCTTTATTAAACAGCTTTTTTCAAATATCAGTATTGGCAAAGTTCGCTTCACTGGTGTTCATGGGTTAAAATCTTAACGATTTTCTAGCTTTACTTTCTTTGTAACCAAAGGCGATTTTTCGTTCATGTTTGTCTTTTTTTCTGATTGTTAGTTTTGGCGGTTTTTGTTCACAGAAATAACAATGATTTACAAGCGTTATTATGTTTTAAGAATATGAAATAGATTTCTTTTTTTTTTATTATTTCTAGAACTTAGCAATCGGTGTTTAGTTCTAAGAATATAACACATTTTGTATTCAAAGTTTGTTTGTCCTGTATGCATAGTAACTTATGTTCTAAATTTTGACCTGCTGCTATTAATAGCTTTTTTATTTAATATGATTTTAAACTTGATTTTGATGATTGATGGAATGTTTTGCACTCGTTAAGAATTATTTCATCAGATTTAATAGACAATAATTTAAGATGCTTATCAGTATATCTTTTTATAAGATCCAAGGATTTCGAAAGTAAAATAAGAATCCGAATGAGGTCGAATGCCCCATATATATATGTCCACGTGACAGGTGTATTTATTCATTTCACCTGTACAGCTACCTCTGTTTATATAAGGACCAGATGCACATGCACATATCTGTTAAATTGGGAAAACTAAAGGTCTTCAAAGTATAGGTCAAATATCAAATAAGGATAAGAAAATAGCATGGCGTGTCATTGAAAAGCATAGATCAAGCAAAACAGATTACTTCATGACGTAAAGACAAACAATAGTTCACAAGGCACTACACAAATAAATCACATTGAAAACAGTCGATTATCTAAAGAACATTTTTACAAAATTTGAAACAAGTATTTTTGAAACGACTGTGAAAAAATGCATACGATCAAACTGTGGTATATTGGTCAAATAATTTGGAAGGGAAGTAATTTTGTTTTGAAACAAGCGGAATCGTTAATATGGGAAAAAAAACATTTACTTGCGCATCGGAAAATTTATTATATTTTATGTTATGGTTCAATGCGAAAGTTGCTGCTAATGTTACATTGGACAAATTGGAATGACACTGCGTTAGAAAATGACATTCCATCGACAACAAATAGAGGAGCCAAGTACCCATCGAATTTCTTTCGAGTATTTGGATGTTTGCACCAACCGAAGTGATGAAATGTTCCCTTTTTATCAATTTCCGGATAAAACATTAGCACAAGAACGCGAAAAATATGTCGCAGGTCCCAAATAGCGATTAGACATATTTTGAGATCAAAGATGGCGGAAGACAATTAAACACTACATTGAGTGCGTTCTACTTTTGATATAAAAAAAGTTACAAGAAATAATTAATAGTGAGAAATGACAAGAAAGAGATGTATGCATCGTATTTAGCATGTTGTTGTAATACTAAATGCCTGCTTGATTGCTTGCAGGTTAGTTTTAGTTGCAGTTATAAAGTTTTGCATTTTTATGACCAATATTTTGGTACTAAAATATTAGGTTTTCGCTGTTATTTGTACCGACCAAACGGTACGGAGCAGGTAATCATAAAAGACAGGCGGAATACAACAAAGGGATCGTCAAACTCATGAGTCAATGACAAACTACCAACGCCTTGCCAAAAACGAAAATGGTCAAAACATCAGTCTACAAAACACAACATAGAAAACTAAATAACGAGCAATAAGAACACCACCAAAACCAGGGGTTTTCGGTTTAAACCAGTTAAAAAAATAAAAATTCACTGGGATGGCAGCTTGCTTTGAGCATCTGTCAATCCGATAAAGTATTAGGTCAATTATCTGTAGATTTAAAAACTTCAAAGACCATGAAGTAATTAATTGGATAAGTGAAATAGTGCCGAAAAGAAATTTAAAAAAAAAGGCAGGGTCAAAGTATCAGGGCATTACCATGCTAAAGTTTTGATATATTTTTCGTGATGTCATTTATTTTTTTGTATCGTAGGGTGACTTTAAAAAAGGAAGATCAACCAAAATCTAATATATCTGACAAGTACCCTTTATCTCCTAACAATCTAATCACAATTAATTCGTTTATCTAAAAGATATTATTTTTTACTGAGCAGACTTCTTAGAGAAAATTTAATCACTGTTACATAATTTAAACAGTCAGGGAAATGTAAACCTAAACGCATTTAAATACTACAACGTATCACGATTCCCATTATTAAATTACACGACCAATATCAGTATAATAAGATACAAATCCTTAATTTGAACAATCGACAGGTATTGGATCAGCTGATATCATACCCACGTTAAAAAATCAGAGAACGTAGTGTTCGAAAAGGTAGCTATGCGTCTTCGCTGTTGGAGTCGTTTGATGTTGATTGTACCGTACACTATTCTAGTTGATATTAATTTGTCTCGTTTGTGCATTTTCAACTTGAGTTCTATTGGTTTCTGGATGGGTTCATCTGACTATTTTTTTGTCTTTTGTCGTTTTTTTATTTCGTCAAATAAATGGTTCTACCTTGGTATTTTGCGCGTCTTGTTTTTTTCTTCTATGAAAATAGTTAATACTTCCATTTTAATTTGTGCTGTTGGCCGGTAATTTATTTATTGTGCACACTCTGTGCATTTTTCAATGCTTCGAAACTATGTTTTACACTTACCAAAAAATGGTTGAGGATCATTCAATATACCACCACCTTTATACTTCAATCCCGACGCACCTAGATTAAACGTATTCATTATAAATCGAACGTTTAAAATACATAAATGCAAACAACAACTAATTACTGCAACTCAAGATTGTCGTACATCTCATTTAGGATAAATTAAGTAAATCAACATTAAAATCATTTCGATTTCCTTGTGCCTTCAAATTTATATTTGTTGTCAAAACCTTCAAATGATTAAAATATTATATTATATTATACACAAACCCAACTTAAAAAGTGTTTATCTAAAGTAAGCAGATCATGCTCCACCTGCGGTTACCGTCAATTGTTAATTGGAAGTACATATTTGATGATATCGCTCATTCTGTGTTGTTACAATCAATCGACGAACAGAGGAAGGGATTGTGCTACGACAACTGAAACATATTCCTGGTCGTCCATAGCAAATCATGATGGAGTCCAAAACTCTTGAAGGGATATCTTCAACTTTACCACTTGGAAACCTTGGTTCTATAGCTTATGTGTTAGTAGTAACCCTCTTTCGATAAAATCATTATACGAAACGCAAGCTGTGAAAAATCGTTTCGACTGGTAAATATATACTTCATATACAGGGGCTGCTGGAATGTTTCTACATAGAAATGAGAAATTCACAATAAGGAAATCTGAAATAATCACATTCGTCGTAAAGTTAAGTTCTAAACCGATCATCATGTTCAATGTATAGATGCAGATTAACCTGTACTTATGATATTACTTTTCATGTTGGGTGCGATAGATGCGACAACATGATGATCAAACTTTGAAAAATTTATATAGCGGAACCTGAAGTTAAAGGATGATGAAAGCTTTATTTTCATTGTTTTTTTTAAATTAGAGTGGTGTTTTACAAGTATAATGTACCTCTTATTTAAATA